TCATTCCAATATTCGAAATTTTTTTCTTGCAATGAACTTTTTCATGCTCTGTTGTTACGAACTAATGTCATAATAGATTTTATCACTCCATTATGACTCGACGCAAGTCGCTCACTGTTAATACTTTCAAGTTTCTCCCAGGTCTTGATCCTGTCAGTGTCTAGGCCAAGTTCAGCTGATTACGCATCCCGTGTGATTTCATTATTGATATCATGTATCATGCAATCACACCACAAGTGCAAATTTACTCTCCAGTATCAATACGATTGCAGGGTTAATCCAGTTCAAACATCTTGGGATTTTATAAAATTTTCCTTTCGAGAACTAAAAAAGGGGTACGGGTAGGAATAGACGAAAGGATAAAAAAAAGTCTGGTGGGGAATTCGTGGCAGACATATTGATCAATGGCAACAAAATATCTGTTGGGGAATTTGTTGTAGACATGAGTGTTAAATGGCAATAAAATGTCTTGTGGGGAATTTGTAGCTAACCTGAGTGATCAATGGCAATAAAGCAAAATGAAAATCAATAAATTCACCTACCATGAGGTCAGACATAGAGTCAAAGTTTGAACTGCTTCCATCAGAGTCAGCTGGTGAAAGTGATCTAGTGCTTAAAAGGGGGGCCTGGTCAATAACTGGGCTGCCGCAATCCATTCTAAAATCAGACGAAAATCAAAATTTTATAAGATTCAAACGAAGGAGGATTCAAAACAAACATTCAGGGTAGGTAATACAATACATCATTGAGGATTCTGAAATTGTTGCTCACCTTCCTCTTCTCAGGGATGTTGGGAATTAAAAATGATTTCTTTGAGCTAAGAGGATTCAAAATATAGGTGCAATCAGAGCCATTCTTAAATTTTTGACTGGACGAGGAAATTGAAATCAAGGTTAGCCAGCAGAATTTCCTGATTCTTCCCTGAATGTCCATGGTCGAATTCGGAGTGTATAGTTTTTTTTCATTTCGAGAAATCTTGATTTTTTACTGCTAAATCCTAATTTCATAATTTTACCAAATCCTGATGAAGTCCTGACTTCACGCAAGGCGAATATAACTCAACATAAATAGCTTGGTAAAAAATTTTGGTCGCACGGCCGACTTTTCTCAAATCCTGATTTTACGACCGATTTTTCCTCAAATCCTGGTGAAATTGGGATTAAATTCTGATGTTTGACACCCTGTTGATAATAACTTACTGACTGTCTCAGGTTATACCTGATGACAACAGGTTTCATCGAAAAGCTTCAGATAAATAATTGAATGAAAAATCCTAAAATCAGACACAATTCAATGGTTATTTATAGTCTTTCACCACCAAATTATAATCTTGACTCTTCAAAACTTTATCATCCTGTCAATGCAATAGATTTCTAAGAAAACTCAACTTGATTTTTCGGACAATTTTAACTTGGAGAGGAAGAAACTAGTTCCTGAAATTACCTGTATGGAGGTGAGCCTCTGATCGCGCGTCCCTGAGCCTGATGTTGAGCCATGGATCTGGAGAAGGGGTCGCTGTACCCGCCAATCGGTGGTGTTCCAGGCGTGCAAGGAGTACACGGAGTTCCAGGGCCACTTGAACTGAAGCTGGAGTTTCTCATTGCAGGCGGTGAGTCCAAGAAGAAACTTGAGTCAAATGCACTTTCTTGATGAGGCATTGTGAACTGAAACCTATTAGACTGTGACAAAACAGACAGGAGTCCATTAGAAATGCTAGTGGGAGCAAAACAGGCAGACACAGTAAGGCTAATTTTTTTAAGTCCTCAGAACTGCTGACGCTTAAATGGTCAGATCTGAGGTTTTGTATAGCTGAATCAATACTGATGCATACCTTCAATTGACACAGCATGGGTCAAATGAACTACTTCCAGTAATATAAATGGAAATTTTACTTGAAACTATTTTCTAATAATTATGATTGCTTTAATTATGATGTTGCGTGGAATTTTTAGGGGCTGAATATGCAATCCGCAACTTACTTTCATTATGCCACTTAATGTGCAAGTACAGTATAAAAACCCTAACATGGCAGTTGAAACTTAATGAGACCAAGATTTTTGAGGAGAACTCATGGCGTAACATAAATCAGACTACATTCCGCAGTTCGGAACTACAATTTTTGGCTCCTCAATCTGTAAAAACACTTATGTGCACAGGGAAACAAATGGTAGGTACGTTGTTTCTGAACTGATCCAGAAATTATAGTTCCCGATTGCAAAAGTAGTCCAATTATCTTTCTCTTTGTCCAGCATTATTTTTCAAGGATTTTTCGATTGAGAGTGAGATTTTCAGACGGGCTACCAAAATTACGCACTTAATCACGAATCTACGATTTTTCGGGACCTGTCGGCAACAGGTAAGACTGAAGAGTGTTCCTGGGAGGAAAATTTCGGTGGGGTCTCATAATTGCAAAGCAGCAAATTATCTACCACAATCGCCACTGCTGAGACGAAAGATGAGTTAGCGGGCTCGCAGCCGGCTGCGCGCCTCTAGTGTAAGTCC